AAAAAAATCCGTATATAAGGGATATTAAGTGCGAATTTTAATATATGTATACAAATAATTATAATTGATGTTTTCAATATAATATACAATTTTACAATTAAATTATTGTTCTTCATATCCTGTAGATATATATTTATTCAATTCACCTGATTGTATATAATTTCATTAAAATTTCAAAAGCATGACTATTAACTTAAATATGTAAAATGCATTAATAACATTGTTTTTTGTTTTTTTTTTTTTTATATAACAACCAACTAACTAAAGGGTCATTTATTTCCTTTTGTTTAAATATATACCTTTTTGGTATATTATCGCATTTAATATATTTTTATATGTATACATATATAATATATGCATAATAAAGCTTTATAGTCCAAAGAATTATCCGTTTAAAAGTCCTCGTTAGGGATTCAAAGTTTTAATTATACGTTACATATGTATGTACTCTACAATAAATAACACATATGTAATTGTAATGTATGTATATTATGTTGATAAATATAAAATAAACACAAGTATTATTAAATAACAAAGTCTACATTATTCCTTATCAAAATTTCTAATCAGGGTGTGAAATTTGAAATAATTATATTTTTTACATTCATGTAAACAATTTTAACTTATCAAAGTTGAAAATTGGAATACAAATACACATACAATCATCATATAGAATGTATATAATTAAAGTTGAATTATAGTAATGAAGTGCTTTGGTGCAATTAAAACTGGGAAAAAAAAAGACTATAAAATTGATATAACGATGTGCGCGTTTTTACTTCTATTTTTTTATTTTTATTATTTTTTTTTTTATATTTTCACATTCACAATATCTAATAATCGTATGTATGTCTAATAAAGTGTGTTGTTACTAAGTAATTCTATGTATATACTGAGTGTGTACTGAGTTGTAATTTAATTTTATATACAAAAACAACATAATTTTTGTTGTTAATTTAATTTTTAACTTTGTTTTTTTTTTTTTTTGAACATATACGCGTAAAAATGAAATAAATATACTGCTTTATTCGAACAAAAACAATCCCTGGTAGATTCAGACAGATTATGATTTTAAAATTTCAGTAAATAATATTACGCTATACTATTCGTAGTGTATGGTAGGTAATATTCGGTAGCTTAAAACAAATTATCCAATATAAAAGTGTACTCTTGCCAGCAGTAACCATAATTATCACTTGTTTATCAAATTTCTAAACAAAATTGAAAATAATATTTCATTTGTATCTATCTGCCAGTCCATCATAACCACACTACACTCTTTAATTATTGCAACTCAAAATTAGCAAAATTCAAATTTTTAGCTATTTAATTTTCTGGAACTGCTGTGTTGTAGTCTCTAAATTTTTTATTAAAGTAAAAAGTTATGGGTGATGTCTTGCTATCAAAAAATTTAATTATTTATCTTAACATACGATAGCTGTCTAATCCAATCATTATACTTCTGTTAATACATATTCTATTCCTAAAAATATTCAATAATTAATTCATAATTTAATTTTGGTATATTAAGTAATAATTTAGTTTATTATTTTAGAAAAATTATTCACACTTGTTTAAGAGAAATGAGCTACTTTACAAATTAGTTTAATTAGTTTAATCCAAATTTATTTTAATTGAAAATATTATAACTGAGATTGTATTGTCCCATTTAAATAATAATTATTATTTATGGTACAAGATAGGATTCCGATTATATAGGTATAGAAAAAAAATAAGAAAATAAGAGAAGATTAATTTTTTTTAATATTAAAATTAATTTATAATGAGCACTTATTATATACTTTTTACTTACATTCCATTATAATATTACTTCAATAATATATTATAATAATTACAATTAACATTCAGCATAGTAATTTCTCAACTATGAATTTTAAAAAATTTAATTCTCTAAGTATTGCATATCTTGCAAATTAATTGGTTCTTTAATGATAAAAAAACTCCAACTGGGTTCCCTTATATATTATGTAGGTAAACTACATAATGTATGTCAGTAAGTATATGGTAAATAATAATAGAATAATAACAATTTTATTTTTAAGAGACATTATTCGTTTTATAATAATATCCTTGTAAACGTGATGTTTCATTTTTTTATATTATGTGCATGTGAAAGGATTGTCATTAATTTACATTATATACGTACATGTGTATATTATGTTATTCGTAACATAATATAGTTACAAAATCATATAAAAAAGTGAATAACGAGTATTACACTTATCATACTTATTTATATATCAAGTTTTCTACAAATAAAATAAAATGAAATAAACAAGTTTTTATTATTTTAAATGGGTTCTAATAATCCTAATAGCATGAATAATTTATTAAATATATATATTTAATAAATGCATTTTTTTTTAATTTTTCTTGTAATATAGTTCAGAATAGTTGCGATATTAAAATTGAATAACTATATTTGAAATTAAAATTGCTACACAAATAGATTTATGAGTGCATTCGATATTAAATATATGTTCCCATAATTGGAATGTTTTTTTAGGAAATCAATTTATTTTCTGCTTTTGTAGTAGTGTGAAATCTCAGCCAAAACATGATATTCTAAATATTGTTTATTATTTTATTATTGTTTATCCTAAATAAATAATATTTATTATTTAAATTTAGCAGATAATCCTTGCTTGATTAAAATAATAAACATCTGCATGATCGCCTGAATTATTTTCCTATTTCTTTTCTTATAATATTTAATCCTTTAAATAATTTAAGTTCTTTGTTTCTTCTTACTTAAATTGCATCACGACATGTTTCTTAAAATTATGTCGTTAATAGGATTTACTTAGCTCTTTGTTTTTATTTTTTGATGGTACCAAATATTCAGATTTTATACTGCTTGCATAATGAACTGTTAAGGTGGTATTCTCTCAAATTCTCTCACTTCAATTTCAAAATATTCAAAGACCTGGCTAGCAATGACTTAAAATAATACAGTAGAAGATTCAATGAACAAATAGGTTTTAGACCATAAATTAGCAAGATATTGTATGAAAACTCTTTTGCAAAATACAGGATACATCTTCGTAATACGTGAGTGTGAATGCAGTAAATTAGAAGAAAAAACAAAAATTATATTTTTATATGATTAGAAATTAAATATTTATTTTATAATTTATTAATTAATAATATTTAATGGTTTTATTATATATTAATTTATTTACGATTTTATGATAATTATTTTACATTCCAATATTTTAAATTTTCCCTTTGAAAGTAATTTTTAATTTTAATGTTTTCACTTTTTCCATTTCACAATCAAATCTATAGATACATACGTATAAGTATATGTTTTCATTATATATTATATATATGTAGATCCATTTAAATATATTTATCTAATTAATATTATATTCAATGCTATTTATAATCAACTACATTACTAGATCTTTTATATTATAATACTTAATAATAATGTAATGGTAATTAGTTAGGTCTACATACAGGTAATTTTTTAGCGTAATTTCTTGCTCGTTTTCTTATTTGCCATTTTTTTTTTTGTTGTGTTAATGCTAATTATATATTTTAATATACATAAATGATTTTCGATTTTTTTTCTAAATTTTATAAATATTGCAAAAATTTTTTAAATTATTTTTTTTTATAACAAAAATTATAATTACTTACATACTATCTTTTTAATAATCTTTTCCTTTTTTGTTTTGATTTTGTTCTTTTTACACAATTCTTATTGAGGAAATTTCTTTTCATTTTAACTTTTAATCGAAATACTTTTTTCTTTTTATACAAAAATTCACTGAAACTAACACAATTTTTATGAATTTATAGGCCGTATACTTTACAATTTTTTAAGCTTATAAACATCTTTTAGCGGGTAAAACAAAAAAAAAACGAAAAAAAAAATATTCGAAATTTTTTTTAATAAATCTGTTGTCATTATTAGTCGTACTCTAGTGTCATTATTCATAATTAAAAAACTGCATAATTTGATAACTGCAAAAATGTTAGCTTCAACGCTTTATAAAACACAATAAGGCTGCAGCAACAATATACAATGACAAACAATAAAAAAAATTAAACATAAATGATAATGTCAAAATCAGTATAATATGACTACGATACTGCAAGCTTTTATGAAATTTCGATATAAAAAAGAACTAAAGAAGCAAAAAAAATTTTTTAAGCCACTATGGAATGAAAATTTACTTTGACGCAGTTTTAAGTTATACAATTTAAATAATTTTAACGTTAATAAATGATATAAAGAAAAAAATAATAGGTTTGTCCAAGATAAAATTCTTTTTTAATTGTTTTACATGGTATATTTTTCTCCTATAAAAAAATTATTAATAACACATATTTCTCTCAATTTTATGTTGTTACATTCCTATCTTAAACAGGTTTCATTATAATATATAATCTATCTTGAAGAGAACTATTACGACATTAATGACATATAATTTTGATTGTGGGATCGTTTTCAATAAGTGAGTAGAATACGTGAGTACGCATACGAGTATAAGGACAAGCTAACCAAATTGAATGTACTGCGTAATCTGACATTTATTGTCAAAAATTTGTTATACGTATGTAATTTTATGAAATGAAAACATTTTGATACTTAAACACTACGCGTTACGCTTCCATTTAGTTAGATGCCTGTAATTTGATCGAAATATTTTTTTTTTATAAAATTGATTTGAATTAAAATTTAGATAATTTTTAATTATAATTTTTGGCCCTAAATTTTGAATTATACTTTCTATTGTTCGCTAAACTGTAATTAATATAAATTAATATTGATGCAAATACATTCACATATACTTTTTTGGTTACAATATTTAATTATGAGTTTCTTTTTTTAATATGTTACAATTTCCCTTTTTTTTATTAATTACATTATTTTTATAATATACAAAAACTTTTTAATATACAATGTGTCAAGTTATATAAAAGAATTAAAATTAATTACATACATATGTACTTATTTATGTGCTTTTTACTTGATGACTTAATATTTCTTTTTAATTAAAAAAAAAAACAAATCACGTGATCAATTTTTTGTCAGAAGATTAAAAGTACATTAAAATTTTTCGATACAAATTTCTGAATTTTGTTTTGAATGTTGAAAAAGAATTAAACTTAGTTTGAAAAGAGGCTAATTATGTTTAAAAATTTATTTTGATCAAAATCATAATTTCAAAAAACTCTTTAACTTTTCACAATAGTAATATTACACCAATTTGCTCATCAATAATTTGCATGTGCAATCATCCGGTAAATAAAATGGAAATATCAATATTACATGACTGTCAAATTTTTGACAAATTGAAAAGTATGAATCGCTTTTGAATCTACTTTTGAATTTTAAGGATTATTTAATTAAATATTTTTGCTTTTATATGGCGAATCAAGTACTTGACTTGAAATTTCAATCTGCGTATATGCAATTGACTTTCAACTTTTGAAAATTCCATGTCAAGTAGCGTTTATATTAGGTCGAAATCCGGTTAAAGTCGGCTTTAAGCTGCCTACAAAAGCAGTATATGACAGCTTAATTTTTGTATTAATTGCAGATAATTTCCTGCTTAGGGTTTCTAATAACGAAACCGCATTCCGCAGCTTTATGTAATAAAGTTTCTGACAAAAAATTTTAATAAACAAATTTAGGCCAAGCTGTTTGCTATCTTTTTTCTTTTTCGTTTTTTTGTTAATTTTTTTTTTCAAAAGTTCATTCAATTAATTACATACATACATACATAATGAATATTTAATTTGACATATAAAACATGTCAAAAATGACCGATTTGAAAAATTTATTTTTACATTTATAATTCAAAACATTTTTAAATCTAAATTTTTTTTGATTGATTTTCATTTCTATTATTAATTAGTTAATTTAATTTCAAAAAAATGTTTTTAAAATTTCATTTTATCAATTCCATAAATATTTAAATTTAAAATGTAATAAGCAAAAAAAATCGATAACTTTTACGTCCTTAATCTTACTAACATTTTAAAATTAATGTTTTTCGCTATTCTCAATAATAATCCATACGTGGTGCTCTCAATGCTGTATGTAATGTTAATGTTACACCACGATTAATACTAACAGCTGGATAAAAAACACCATATAAGTCACGAAAAGCTACAGATCCTTGAGGCATTTCATTAACCAGAAAACTTAACGTATGACGTTCTAAATCTAGTAGAACACCTACCGTACTACCTGTTGTGATGCCACCTTCAACACGACGTTCATGTACGGAATTATGTTGAAACCAAGAACGTTGACGATCAATATACATTGCAAAGGATTTTTCATCTTTACCTAAATTTATAAAAAGAAACAAAATAGAAGGAAAACGAATTTAAATTTGAATTCCGAAAACAAAAATGATAAAGTATAAAATGGTTTTTATATTTTTCTTTTTGATTTAAAATTTAATTCATTTCAACTTTACCTAACATTTTATTTCTATTGACATCAATTCTAGCTACACCAAATGCTGGATCTGTATCAGCAATATAATTATCAATTGTAAATTCCCAATAATGTATACCACGACTGAAGCCAACCGAACCTAATGCAACACGATGTTCCCATCCTTCAACAGAAACCGTTGAATTATTTTTTGAAAAAACTAAACCAGAACCAGGACCACCACTTAATACGGGATCGAAAGTGAACCAAGCAACTATAAATATTAACAATAAATTGAATATTATAGTAAATATATCAAGGCGATAAAATGCAAGATACTAAAATCTTAAACTGAATTATTTTTTGGTAAAATATGTTCTAAAATTTACATAAGATTTTGCAACATGGAATTTATTTCTATATTTTTAATGTTCGTATATAACGTATTACAGAAGAACAAATAAAATTAAGATGTCAAATTCAAAAAGTTCTATTTAATGCATTCCGGAAATTGAAATATCAAGAAAAATGCAAGGATATGAAAAATAAGAGAAATTTAACTGCAGTAAAAAAAATATTTTCACAATATTTTTTGTATATTCATGCATTCATTCTGTGTTTCTATTCACATAACATTAGAAAAGTGCAGACAGAAAAGAAAAATCTTTTTTTATCCTTAAAGTTTTGAAATATATTTTATTGTTATATGTTAATACCGATTTCTTAATATGTTTACTCGTTCATATACAAAAATTTTTGAACATTGAATAATTTAATAATATATAAACTAAAAATTCCGGGATGTAAATATTAAAGAAATTAGAATATTGGAACCACTCACCTTCTGCCGTTTGTAATCCAATTAAATCAGAATAATCTCCTTCACCACTACTATTAAAAGCCTTTACACGAGCATTATACATAGAATTAAAATGTAAACCGTCAACCGTACAAATTGTTTCTTTGCCACAATAAACTTCCTGTTGTATAAGAAATATAGAAAATTTAAAACAAATTATTTTTGAAATTCAATTATATACAAATATATACTAATTTTATTCATGTTACTCTTACAGAATTGAGTTAGACATGCTTATATTCAAAATTAATTTACCCGAAATTCACCACCATTTCCGTCATCCAATTCTAATACATATCCGGTAACAAATGAATGATTTGGTGCTTGCCATGCAACCGTTACAGAATTATTTTCAGCTGAACAATCTTCTGGTATAATTGCTGGCGCCAGAGGAGCTATAAACATAAATACAATATTGATGGAATAATAATTAAGTAATTGAAATTTTATATTAAGAAAATATTCAGGAATATTTGTTTTTTTTTAAGATTAGCAGAATATTTTGGGAATAGCTGGGGTTATCAACTATTCAATAAATTTGTATTAAAGTATATACTTATAGTATGGAGATTTAAAAGAAAAAAAATATTCAAATATCTCACCTGTAGGTGCTCTTTCATCTCCTTCCTTAATAGCTGTTTTGTTAAAGCAATAAAAAGAAATTTGAGAAACAAGAAGAATTTTTAGAAAAGAACATTTTTATTTTTTGTGTTCGGGTATATTAAATTAAAATTAAAGTATGAATAACTCAAAACTTAAAATTGAATTTGTTACAGAAATTGGAACAAATAAAATTTGAACTTTTTCTCAGGTTTAAGGAAATGAAAAAAATATATAAAAAAAATAATAAAATTTTTAGGTAGGTAATGAACATAAGATTTTTGTGTTAGTTTTAAAAACTATTTATACACACATATTACAAAATATACACATAATTGAATTTTTTGGAAAATTTATAGTTTATTATTTTATAAGTGGATAGAATAGACCAAAGTTAGACGTATTTATAAAGTAATTTTAGATTGGATGTATAAATTTAAAAAGTTTAGTGCATGAAATTATGTTATAATAAATTCAGGAAATAATTCAAAAGTTAGATTTTAATCAAATATAAAATTATTCCGACATCATTGTCGGAATAATTTTATATTTAATTAAAAATTTATTAAATATAGCAAAATACGGTCAGCAAACGTTCTCTTTAATAATAATAATACTCTGAATAAGATTATTGTCTCAAAATTCATAGTAATTATGGAGGTAACACGAAAAGATAATCTAAAAGAGAACGTGTCTTAATAATCATATGATCGAAATAGCAAGGACCATAATATCAACCCGAAATAGTCTAAAAGCTGCATTAGTTTGTTACGACTTTGTATGTGATTTCAATATTGAAAACAACAGACATTGCATGTGATAAAATTTTAAAGAAATATATGAATTTAGAAATTGAGCCCGAAAATAAAAATTTTAGGTATTAGAACCATATACATGTGAAAGAATGATAAGGAAATTATTTTGAGTAAAAATTTTCAGTAAAAATTTTATTTCTTTTGAACGAAACTAATTTAAAATCAAATTAAAATAACAATAACGAGAAATAAAACACAAATATAATGGGAAAGGAAGAGAAAATTAACTTTCTAATAAATCACAATATACAAATAAATTGACTTACGTTTCATTTGTATAAAATTAAGATTATCTATTGCTCTAATTAATGCTGCATCATCTAATGTTAAATCAACGATAGGTGAAACTCTTGGCGCTGCTGTTGTAACTTCTTGATGCCATGTCATATCTGTATTTGCAACTCTATTAATAAGCATTGATCCTACCTATTATAGTTAAGAAAAATTTATTTTTTCATTAATACACAAAATTTTAAAGCAAATTTTACTGACTTTTTTTTAAAGAGAAACTACACTTACTTGTAAAAATGCTGCATTATCAGTCTCTTTTAAAGCTTCAATACAAAATTGAATAAGACCCGTTGTTTGTTGCAATTTCCCCGTACAACTTGATTGCTGTTCCTGAAAGTTTAATTATATAAGAATAAATTATTAAATGTTAATAGTACTTTTTCTGTTAATGCATTTTCCATAACTATAATAAGTAAATTTGGTAATAAATTTCAAATTTTTTCAAATTAAAAAAAAATTTAATTGAAAAATACCTTTAATATTCTAATTTTTGTATCTCTATCCATACGAATTGAATCTAATAAATAATCTTGTCTATCTTGTAATGCTTGTAGTAAAGCTTCACATTGAGCTGTTACTAATCTTTCGAATTCGATACATGCTTCCTGGAATTTAATTTTAAAAAATTATGTAAGATTAAATTCATATGTAAACTGATTTTTTTAAAAATATTATAAATTGCTAAATTGAAAATATTATGTTTAGTTAAGTTTTTTCATTACGTCCGTGTAATATTAAGAAAAAAGCCTTTTCGAGTACTCCGAAACGAAATCTTAGTGCATCTAATAATAATCGTCAGTCTTTAGAAACTTATATTTACTTCCACAGAACATTAATTTACTTTGGTTTCCTGAACCTTTAAGAAAAATCAACAAATTTTATTGAGAAACATGAAAAAGTTCTGTAAGAACTTTAAATTTAATTTAGAGTATAAGTTGGTATACCAATTTGGGTAAACCCAAAAAATCAATCAATTAAATCGACCAATTAAAGTTGTCGTTTTTCAGCTATTTCAAAGCAGAGAAAATTACAGATAAAGTAATTATTATAACATACTTAAATAAATATATACATTGCTTTAAATATATATGCATGTGCTTTATGTATCGTCGTGATTTATTTTAATACTGTCGAATATAAAAATTATTCATTCTTATTCACTATGGCATTTATTTATTTTAAGCAATCTTTCTATATATTTTTTTATTGTTTTGAACTCTGAAATTGTAAAGAAGTTTCATTTGCTGAAAAAGTTTTAAATTTTAACTGATGTTTTACCGTTATATTCATAAATGTATATACACATACAAAAAAGGAAATATTTAAAAATATATAAATAGAATAAAACTTAAAAAAAAAAAAGAATATTGTTCAATTCATCAACAAAAGAGAGTAAAAAAAAAATTAAATGAGAAACCAAAATAAAAATAAAAAGAAAAAAAATTGAATTGAAGAATGCCGTCGTCGACTCCAACGATAATTTAGTTTTTTTGTTGTATTTGTAAAAAGATGAAAGTCATCATCAACGTAACCAACAAAAATACCCGTATTTTAAAAGCAATAAAATATTGCAATAAATAATAAAATGGAAAGAAAAAAACTTGCATTTCAAAGGAACAAAACAAACTTTTCCATAGGTTTTTTTTACATTTTATTTTGTTTTTGAATGCTCCCTCTGTCAACATTAACCTAAAAGATAAAAAAAAAATATTAAATTTCGAGGACTACAAGAACATAAATTGTAATGAATATTTTCCGGCTAAGTAAAGTAAAGAAAAAATCCTAAAAAGTTTTCTATTTTTTGTCTTGAATAAATTTTTATTGCATGTGACAATTTGTTTTGGTTCTAAAGGATATACATACATGGATACATTTTTTAAAATAACGTGACAATTCGGATTTTTCTTTTATGATTCAGATATCTTAAAACATGGAACTTACAGAAATCTACGCCATTATGTAGTTAAATTTTTCATTAAAAAAAGAATTATTTTACATAACTATAAACTTAAATAGACTTTAAGCTGATACAATTCCAAACCGTAGTTAGTTTACAAAAAGAGCACATCATTTAGGAAAAAAGCGAAAAAGCTATAAGAGAAAAGTTCAAAATTTTTAAAAGAAACAATTTTCCACGATTGATTACACATCCAGGTTCTTTATTGGATGTCTTCAGTTGCCATATTAATTATTTTTTTACTTAAAGACATGCTTTTGTCCTAAGATTTTGAATTTATTTAACCCAGCATTTACACATACAAGTTACTTGCATGCAAGTTTGTATAATATTAATTGTCAATTAGTTGTTCGAAATGTCAAATTACTTGCTATTATGACGTAGGCGTTTAGCAAGTTAATTTTTGAAAATGTCTTTGAGAAGAAAACAACTAGCAATATATATAATTGTTTATAAATTTTAGAAACCATAAGTTTGCTAAGTTTAATTTTTTCAAAACAAAATTCAAAAATTTTAAATTAAAAAAAAAAAAATCAAAACAACAAATTTTTTTTTGTGAATTTCTCAATATGTCAAATTACTTGCTCAAATTACTGGCAGCAAAATTTTCTTGCAAGTTGAACTGCAAGTAAACAAGCAAGTAGAAATATTTCAATGTGTTAGTAAAATTTTTGTATGTATTGCAACTTTCTTGCAAGTAACTTGTACGTGTAAATGCTGGGTAAGGTCCGTAATTGGAACGCAACTATAATTGAATATCAGAATAAATCAAAAGTTACAACTACCGTAAAAATTCGAAAACTGTACAGGCCATCTATTTATTTGTTTCAGATGTTGTATATTATATTCACAGTTTAAGTAACTTGTAAGTAGTTGAAGTTTGTAAATGGTACACAGCCAGAATAATGAAAATTTGTATATACATACGTATGTCGCAAAATGTCAAAATTTCTTATGTCAAAAGTGTAATCTTTCCATTTATAATAACTTAATCTCAAACTTCATTTTTCCAATCATTTGTGAACAATAAGCAAATTAATAAAATCTTAGTTTTAAATGCTTAAGTATAACTACCAGATACGGGAGGATATTTCCGTCAAATATAAAAAAAAAAGTAAAACATTTAAACTCATAAAAATTAAAGATATACGTGACTGTTTACGGGATTATACTTTTAAAATGAATGTACTTATTTTGGATTATTACAATTATTATTTTTTTTTTTATTTTATTGATGGCAATTTATTATAATAATAAATGAAATATAACTTTTACCGTCACTTTGTCGCTCATTCCTTTTAATCGTTGAATAAATTCTGTAGTTGAGCGTGCTTTCTCTGACAATTGTTGTAGATTATGTGACAGCTCCGTCTGAAAAATAAGAAAATAAAATATTTTAGTTTCATAAAGACCACAAAGTTGTTTTTGTTTTTTGTAAATTTTTTTTTACAATTCAAGAAGTTTGAGTCAATAGAAAACATTAAAAAACGTTGAACAAACAACGAAAAAAAAAACAATAAAAAAATAAACAATGCACTTTTTTTCTTTTCTATTTTTATTCTTTTTTTTATATTGTAATTGTTTTCAAGAAAACAAATTGCATAAAAAAAATATGCAATTTTATTTTTTTCATTTTTTTTTGTTTACGTAAAATACACATACAAATAAACTTGAATATGAGAAAGAATTTACAATAAATATATTTAAAAGGATATCAGTAATAATGTTAGTTTTCTCGGTTTTTTTTTATATAATTCAAAGGATAATAAAAAAATAACAATCGCAATATATTTGATTAAATTCGCTTCGAAAATTGTATTTTTGTTTTTTCATTTAATAAAAAAAAATCAATCGAGAAATTAAAAATTTTGACAGTGCCTGTAACAGAATTTTATGCCGGAAATTTATGAAATGTCAAACATACGTTAAATTCCATAAGTTTTTTATAAAAATGGAACTTATTAAGTATTTTATAAATTAAATTCGTTCTTAAATCGTTGTTAAAATTTCAATTTTATTATAAGTTGTATTTTTGAAAGTTATAAATTTTTTAACAGTCGAATAATGCGCATAATTGCATTAAAGTAATTCATCGTTATATTTTGCTTAAACTTATTACATAATCTTTTAAAGCGTTTATTTAAATTGATTACAATATGCTTTTCACTAAAGTGTCATTTTCTCTAAAATTTCTTTGTCTGTCAGTAATTGTCAAATAATTGTCATTATTTTGGTTTAATTTAATCATTGTTTTATTTTCCTTCAAGAAATATAAAAGAATATGACATAATAAAACGTAGTGTGTTAACCTGTTTCGAAAAAAAAATAACACAATCCGATTGTGAAGGGCATTCATAAAGTTATTAATCTTGATTCATTGTATTCACTTTGTATACGTACTACGTAATTACTTCAGGCCATAACCTCAATTCAAAAATTAAAATGATCTGTCTTTGTATTGAGTACGGTTTAGTTATACATTTATGCAATATTATACTTTTCATGAAATATTAATTAATTACTTCGTTTTTTTTTTGCATATCTGTAACATTATTACTTTCTTTTTTGTATAAAACAAATGCATATTAACTGTAGTTCACATTTATAAATTCGTATTCGATATACCCAAACCCAACGTTCCAGAACAAAAGAACTTATTCCTTCAGGCCATTTACACAAATGAAAGCATTTTAATTTTCATCTTTCATTCGGGGTTGTAGGCGTTACGAATTGAATTTTGACAACATATTTTATCCTCTTACGGAAATTTTTATAAACTCGGAATCAATTACTTTAAAATTTTGTGCAAGTCATTTGATTTTGTAGCTTCTTTTTTTTTCAAATAAGCTTTTTATTTTCTAGCTAGGAGGGATAGAAATGCATGCAGAATATTTTATTAAAGGATTTTGTGAAATAAGAAGTGAAAAAACGGAATTTTATTTGCAAATGTTTTTTTTTTTTGAATTTCAAATTGAACATAATAGGCTATTATTGAGTTGTTTTCATTAAGTATATGGAATTTATTAGATACCTGCTTATATGCCATATTATGGCACATAAAGTCTGGAAGCAAAAAAGAAAAAAACAAAAATACATACATATGCTCATACCTTACAATTTCATAAAAGGAAAAAATTTCAGTGGAATTTTGGGGAAATTACGTAAATCAAACTTCTGTACATTAATTTTACCATGAATTCTAGGAATTATTAGCCAATCCGTAAAAATACTTTTATTGTGCAGCAAAGTTTAATGAAAGTTTTTACCTGGAAAATTTTTGATTATTTGGAAAATCGATTAATTTTTGGACATCAAAGAGGAAATTATTTAATTTGAAAGACTTTTATCTATTTACATTTTTTAAATCTCTGTTATTGGTAAGTACCTACATAAAAAATTAAATACGTAAATATTCTATTTTGGTTTAGTCTTTTGTTCCCAAATTATAAATCTTTATATTATAGGATTTGGCAGTATTCTAAAAATTTTTTTAATCATGGACCATGGTAGTTTTTGAAACAGAAAACTTTTCCACACTTTTAAAAGTATCATGGCTTACAACAGGTAAGCACTCTTTACTGGTTGAATTTACAGTAGTGATTTAAAAATTAGGCCGAATGTGATCTTTGATTAAGTTAAGATGATCTGTCCTGCAAAAATGTAGACCGCACTCTTTAGTGGACTTTCAATGATATATGATAGAGTTGCAAATTTGATTGACTGTTAAAAAATATTATTCGGAATATTGTGATTGGAGGCTAATAAACTCACATTTCTAGTCTATTCACACGAAAATTGTATGAGTTGTTAGAGTTTGGTGAAAGAAGATCACGGTCCTTTTTAAAAAAAAAACTTAAAATTATTGTATGAAAATTCTTCTATTTAAAATAAGTATTAAAAAAAATTAAAAAATTATTAATGTAATAGGGCGTGGGAGGTTACTTCCTTCGGTCAGAACTATAAGCTAAGGTGTCACTTTTACTAATTTGGGCTGACTATGAAGAACTTGCTTAAATTTGGCTATTAGAATGATGAAATGGCTGAGAATATTTACCGCTACTGCATCGTTTTGGGTCAGACGGTAGAGAGCTTTGTGGAGAATGTAACGATGTACCAATCATTGAATTTGAGAGATAGATTAAAGTCATCAAGGGCTTCTCAAATGAGGGGATTAACAAAGTTCGGGGTTGATCGAAATAAGTATTGATAATTTTTTTCGAAAAATAACAAAGCACGAAACAACCTAAATATTTCGAATCTTTTCCATATATTTTGTTTCAATATTTTAATTTTCAAATATTTCAGACAAAAATAGGAAATCATTTCGAAACATAAAGTTGTAAAAAAAGCTACCGTTAATATTAATGATTCTTGTTTTTTCCTCTTAAATGTATTTGATGAATCAATCCATAAATATTTAATATTGCGTATACATATGTATAGTTATATGTACACGTAATTTATTTATTTTTGAACATTATACAGATGAAAACACATGAAAACAAAAACGAGTTAAACCGAAATAAAATTTTGCGGTATATTAGGTCGTGATTGCGTACCTGTTTATCAGTATTCTCTCTGATATAATGATTTTCAACATAACCCAATTAAAATGAGAAATTGTTGAAAATTAAAAAAGAAAAAAAAAACAATAAACAAGAAAAAAATAATCTAAATAATCCTTTCGTAAGAACTAGCAATATGATATCAGTATTATACGAGAACACTCCATGTGCTTTTCAACTTTTTAGAAAATTATTCATGCGTGTACACTGACTGAAGAAAACAAGCAATGAAAGAATATTTAAAGCTCATGATCTGGCTTTTCGTATAATAAAATTTATTTTAGGTATGTAATACACGTTACGAATAATTGTTAACTTGCTTATCAAACATTGTAAAACCATAAGTTTTTTATATAATTGTACGCGAATATTATACACATATGTGTTTAAGTAGGTTATATAATGTATTACAGGCAATGTCTATAAAAGAAGAAGAAAAATTCAACGAATTTAAAATTTTTGCTAAAAGATTTAATATTAATATTTCATTTTTTCTTTATTTTTATGCATACGCTGCATCTAAAAGTGATGACATAAGATCCGGATAAGCAACAACGTGTTATCAAGACTCATGTTTCCTTGTCAGTTCTTCAGATCTTTCTCTTTACCGATCATTGACCTTATAGAAGTCGTAAAATTAACAGCTGAAAATTATCAACAACGGGTAGGACTTTGTGAGGGGGTAGCAAACATTCGATTTGCCAATGATATAATTTTTCAACATTATCCACCATAGGATTTTGAAGCTCTTTTGCTATCTAGTAAACATAAATTGGTCTTTAATATGTTGCTAATAAGAAATAATCCTACCCAATATATCCACTTTGCGTCCGGGAATTGCAAAAGAAAAATTTTTTCATTTAATTTGGGTTCTTTTAAATTTTAAAATTACATAAACATAAAAATAATAAATTTTCAAAAGTATTAAAGTTTCGATCAGTAAAAATATTGCGTTATTCAAAACCATTAAATGTTAAGGCGAAAGTATACAAATTTTTCGATACCATCTTTCTTTTATCAATTTTTTTTCTTCTCCTTTCCATAATACGTTTATACTTTCTTTTAGCGACCCATCTAACAACATTAAAAACTTTTTCTATTAATTTTTTGTCTTTTTTACTTTTTTTTAGGTATGTGCGTGTATATGTACATTTATTTTTTTATAATTTGATTCAATTTTCCATAAAGATGTGAAAATCCTTTCTAAAATTTATTGTCCAAAAATTCTCTTTGACAATTCAATAATTGTAAAAAATCTCGTTAAGCGCCAGTCCAAATACAATTTAGGTTGTGTGTATAAACATTTGCACAAACATATTGTAATTGAATAGAAAGGAATATCAAAGAAAGAAAAATGTAACAATAGCAGTTATTTAAATTGAAAAAAAAAAAAATAACAAAATTCAGTTATTCAATTTAAACTGTAAAAAGAAATGGAAAAGAATAAAATATCAAAATTTATATTATGCAAACTTGCTTTAAGTCACAGCCAAAACAATTTAATATTTGTCATAGTTACGGGTTCTTTAAATCTAAGTTTTTTTTATAGAATTTTATTCTGCATGTGTACATTTACGCATCGAAATTACATTAAAGAAAAAAAATGAGGAATACAAGAAATGAAAAATACAATAAATATGGAATTATTTCTTTTTTTACTCCTCTCATCTTCGCTCTTTATATACATACATTCTAAAGATTATCATTATTCAGTCAGGACAATGACATATAATCCTGCGTATTGTAGTTTGCTCTACAGTAGTAATAATAATAATATTAATGGTAATGAAATTTAAAGTAATATTGCAGTCAATCTCTAATATTGTTATAATGCAACTCATTGATGATTTCATTGAAATTTTTGTATAATAAAAAGGCCAATACACTGAATGTGTTTTGAGAAGACAAAAAAAATCTCGGTAAATTTCAATTACATTAAAGTACATAAATACATTTATATTTAGGATTGCTGATTAGCTATAACGAAAATGAAATTAATGTCAGGGTTTATTTTAAAATAAATTGCAGTGTAAATATAAAATTGCAAAAAGGCGATTAACATAATGTTATGTGAATTGTTAAATTTTAAAGAAAATCTAAATTAATATGGGTAAGAATTAAATTAGGAATTCACTATGAATAATATTTTATTTAATTATGGGATTATAAAAATGAGCAAAATTTATTGAATTTATTATTTACATTTACGTTAATAATATTTAAAATATTTTAGGGATTTGAAACATCCTAATATGTTCAGAGCTCAAAATATTTCGTATGGATTGTGAAATATACTAGCTGATATGAGTAGGACAACAAAATAAACCTCAACAAACATTCATACTGGATAACAAAGGAGCGACCCATTTAATATTTAATAAACATGTTTGATTCAATTACTAAACCTCTGGATAGATGACACAATTAAAAAAATTTTTTGTGTTAATGACAACACCTAGTGGCGATTACACAATAATATGCAAAATGTGTGAACAATTTGAAATTTTCATTGAAGTATAAACATCCAATTCCTAACAACAATTTTAAAATTTCAACAAAAATAATAATGTGATTAAATAAAAACAAGAAATAAAGGTAAGAGCTTCTTTATTATTTTTAAATTTACATACTCATATATTCTTTCACATATGTATCAAATAAGATAGATCTTACATAACTATATCTTATCTGATGTAATTAAAAAATCTACAGACATCGCAAAAGGGGTGAATAAAATAAATTAAATATCATTTAACATTGTCAAAACTATTTAAAATAGAATTTAAAAACAACTTCCTAGAATTATTATGTGACATATCCGTCTAATGTAAATAATACACTCATTACAACGTCATCATGTTCTAAGCAATTATTTGTTCTATTCATTAAAAATTTGATAAAACAGGAAAAAAAAATAGAATACAAGATAAATAAATGATGACACAAAAATAATTACACAAAGTTAAACTGAAAAAAATATACTCTTATTTCTTTTACATTCGATTTAATATTTGTATTTTTGTCTGTTAGTAGGGAAATCCAATTGCGGTATTGAATTTTTTAATTTACTGTAGCCGAATAAGAATTATTCGACTTACACATTCAAGTATGTTAAGTTTATTTAGGTTATAGTTAGTTTCGGTGGTGTATATTGACAAAAGTGGATCACTGTATACAGTTGTTGCGTATATTGTTATCAACTTTTTATGTTAACCTCCAGAAAAATGTAAACACATACTATTATTTACATCTCATTTGTAGAGTTCAAACATGTACTTCACTCAGGGTCTTCAATGTGTTTTTATCAAAAGTTTAGCCCGCTTTCCTTTGACACAGCAGATGCTTCAAAGTTTTTTTTTTTTCGCTTGGTACGTTTTAATTTTTGCATGGATCTTTATCTGTGTGCGCGTACCTAGCTGCATATGCACATCGATTATATCCCGCCCATCATTATACTAATCAGCACACTACTGATCAGTCATTATACGATAGAGATTATAGCGTATAAACTAAAGTGTCTCTTTTACGAATTGCCCAGTTTACATTTCATTTTATTTCACCTCAACGAAATAAACCTTTTTTCGATATTTCTCTATTTCTTTCGCGCGATTTCTTTGTATTTCTGCTTTGTTCACTGTTCTGCCTCTACTCATATATATTTTCTGCCTCTTTAGCCTTTAAGTTTGTAATGTATAATTCATTTGAAATGTTTATAGAAAATGTTAAACTTCTCAATTTAGAAATAAAGTTTAAACGTCTCATAAGCTCCCATTCAAATATTGGATTATCCTCTATTAACATTTTACCATTTTTCCCATTTTTTCACACATATACATACCTACTTATCAGAAATATTTTCTTTAGAATAATTAACTAAAACTGTTATACAAAAAAAAATAAGCATCTATTTATGTCAGTTTTAATGTTTTCGAAAATGTAAAACATTTTTACGATAAATTTTTTTTTGTTTTTACATTTTAATTTTTTTTTTATTTCCAAAGAAAATTATCATATATGTTCCTCCTATATTCCTCTTATTTCTTCTATCTATATTATTATTGTCCTTCACATATTATTATATAATCCTTCGAGATATTTTCTATCCTATTCTATATTTAGTTATTTTTTTTTGTATATTTATTATTTTTATAATCACTTGTCACCATATTTATAATTTTTGTTTTTCCATTTTTGTCAGAATACACTTACAACCTCTAATGTATTAAAAAAAGGAAAAAAAAAACCAAGATTCAAAGAAAAACTTAGGGATTTTGAAATCAAAACAGCCACCAATATACAATAATTCAGTTACCAATATAATATGACAATGTACACTTGTACGTATGTATATACGTAATATGAATGATATCAAAATCATCATAATCATTAAAATTTTTATATTAAACATATTATGTAACTATACTTGTGTGTATAGTCATCATTATTATCAATAATATTGCATCATTTTTATTCTCTGTGAAACTAAAACAACATAATGGTGCAAATATATGTACATACGTTTGTATATATATAAAATTCCCTTCAGGATATAAAAT